GAGGTTCTAGATAAAATACAAAGCAGAATCTGCAATATTATTGGTCCTGACCCGGCATCGCGCTTTCTGTCCTTCTCCCACTGTCGTGGCGTAGCTACCTTGTGCCTTTTCTATAAATATTTTCATGCTAATTGTTTTGATGAATTTTCCGCCAACTTGATGAATTTAAGCGCAATACTTGTCGGCAAGGTCTCACCATCTTGCATGTGAAATGGCTAGATGTAACCGTAAGTTCTATGCTAACAGTTTCTTCTCTCGCATTTCTCATTTGCAGAACTCTCTTTCGGCCTCTTGCTTTCCAGTCAACTTTGATCTTCAAAAATTTAAATGCAATGTCAATAGTTATCTTCTATCTTCTTTAGTTCCCGTTCTTTTATTGTTCTCTCTCTTTTTATTTTTCTTATATTCCCTCGCACTCAGTAATTTCTTACGTCTTAGTGATCTTATTGCCTTGCTTGGGGTTAAACGATAAAAAAAAACACACACACACACACACACAAACGATGCATTTGAAAAAATAAAACTTACCGTATATACTCGCGAATCATACAACTCTTGGAGACCTAATTATGAAGCTAATTTAACTATAGTAAATGGATATATTTTGGTCAACGACGTAGCAGGAGTTACGCTAATTTTATATTTCGCGTATCATGCGACCTCCTTAAAAATTAGCTTCAAAATTTGGTCTTCAAAAGTCGCATGCTACGCCAGTATATACGGTAAATTTATACAAGCTTGTAAGTTAAGTGATCATGACTCTCCGCAACTTCCTATCCTTTATGACCAGTACTGAATTCTCAACTCTTTTGGTCAAGTCACTTTTTGGATCACTCAACCAACGCTTTTATCCATTAAGTTGTGAGTTCAATCCCTGGCTTGAGTTGAGTTAACTGTAACAGAGATATCTAAAAAAAAAACAAAAAAAACAATGTCATGGTTCATGGAATTAGAACAATTTACTCCCATGGACGAAATAAATGGTTCGAATCGAAATTCCAACTGATATCTCCTGAAGGAGGTCAGAGCGTACAACAGCCGAAAAGTCGTGAATATGGCAATAAAGATGAAGGTAACATTCAAAACAATGTAAATAGTGTAAATAGTTACAATAAATCATTTCAGAAATATAGACAAATATTATATACCGTATATACTCGCGTATCATGCGACGCTTGAAAACCTAATTTTGAGAATAATTTAACTACAGTCAATGGATATATAGTTTGGTCAACGGCGTAGTAAGGGCAAACAGTACATATGCTAATTTTATATCTCATGTATGATGAGACCCTCTTAAAATTAGCTTCAAAATTAGGTCTTCAAAAGTCACATGTTACGTGAGTATATACGGGATATATAACACACCAACTTATAAGAATATTTTCTGAAGTTACTTAAATCCTGTCTAGATTATAAAATGGATAGCATATGCAATGGCCAAGAAATGGGGGATGAGTTTAATACTAAAGAACAATACAAAACTGATCCCCCACTTTTTAATATTACTTCCTAGCTAACATTATAGTATAATGACTCAACATACAAATCCACGTCCCTATCAGTCAAGCTAATTAGGCGACCCTCTAAGCTTACTTGAGCCTGGGCGTTTGGCTTACATTCGTCTTGGAAAGCACAGCCGTATTTTTCAGGGTATTTTCTTAGGAAAAAAGTGCGTCTTGTAAGCCGGAAAATACGATAGTCTATTAGGTTTATGTTCAGTGTGTCTAGCAGAGTTATATTTACCCTTGAATATTTGGTTTTGGTTGTTTCCATTGAGACCGAAGGGAATAAAAATATTTTTATTCTATTCAGCACTTCAGATCTATCCCGTCGGTCTGAAAAGTGTTGAGAGTTGAAGGGTCTATCGATCTGGGACTTCATTGTTGCAATCACAAGCAATAATCGACTTTTGCAACAACTAGTCAAAGAGACATAATGAAAGTGTCTCAGCAAAGAATTTCAGATAAGTCTTTATTCACCAGCTGCCTGTTTACTTACTGCAGACGGTCCATTAACAATTTTTTTAAGGGAAAGATAGCAGTCTTTGCCGACGTTTCCATGAAAATCGATACAGGCCCCCATATGCTGTGCCTAATATTTAGAAAAAGAAACTAATTAATATCACCTGGTTGGGATCGGTTTAGATCACAAGGGATTCGAATTCAAGTTGACCTTTTCTTCGGATTTAATAAAAGATCTGCTTGTCCTATCGACGACGCCATATTTGTCATTTTCCCACGATTCTCCTCCAGATTAAATTCAAATGATTTCTCATTTAGAAATACCCGTTTCCAAAGATCTAGCTCTCTCTCTCTCTCTCTCTCTCTCTCTCTCTCTCTCTCTCTTTCTCATATTCTTTCTCTTTCACTTTCTCTCTCTCTCTCTCTTACTTTCTTTCTTTCTCACACTCTCTGTCTCTCTCTCTCTCTTTCTTTCTATTTCTCTTTAAGCGCCATGTCCCATCAGATTGCAAGTGATTATGTCTTTCTACGTTTAGGTCAGGTCAGGCTTAGGCCTGTTACTAGTGACATGTAAACCGGTACAATCTGCCGTATGTGTATGTATGTGTATGTGCGTGTAAATTATTTTCAGATAGAGTCTATCCTTGAAGGAACAAAATAAATAAAAAGACAAGAGGAAAAACTATTCTTAACCGACGCGTTTTGTCCTCTAAGGGACTTTATCAACGCAAAGAGAATGAGATTTGCCCAGAGAACGAAACGCATTTGCTAACAATAGATTCCCCCCTTGTCTTTATATATTTACATATATATATATATTACCTGGTTTATGTCAGAGGGTATCCCCCAGACGAGGCTATGCCCGAAGTGCAGAGCCTCGTTTCGGGAAACTGACTCCGTTTTTACGTGGTCTATAGGGAATTTTTGCCCGAGCCTACGGGCTCGGATCCCCTACTTTAAACTCGGCCTTATGCCACATGTTGCTGCGTGGGATAGCGGGTAAATAAATAGTTATAGTTATATATATATATATATATATATATATATATATATATATATATATAAAAAGGAGCCAGTTTTACCCGGAAGATCCGTTTAGATGAAAGCTTGGTAGGTAGGTTCTGGCTCACAGGGTTTTTTCTTAGATTTACTCTACTTAATGTATTGAGCACGTTTAAGTTTTTACTTAATTTACTCTCTCGGTGTTTTTCCTTTTGACTATGCATTGCAGTGTCGATTGACCATTTTCGTCCATCACAGATGTCTTTAGTCTTTTCTTATTTTACTGTTTATTTTTCTTGGTATCGGTTTGTTCAAATATATTCCTATTTACAAATTGTATTATCCGGGTTTATACAAGTACAGGTATTAAAATAATATATATATATATATATATATATATATATATATATATATATATATATATAAAAAAAATATACATAATACTTTACATTAATTACACAACTCTGAGTTTCATGCCGAAGCAATTGTCACGTGCTGAAATTATTATTTTCATTTTTTTTTTTTAAATGAAATTAATAATTCCACAATTTCTTTGGCATGAAACTTGGAGTTGTGCAATTAATGTAAAGTATTATGTATATTCCTTAATATATATATATATATATATATATATATATATATATATATATTATTTATCTCTGTTTTTAATATTGAGGACTGTTTTTTCTTACACTATAGAGTATTTATATCTATTTGTATACGATCGCTCGCTCGTATACCTACCTATATTTACACATTCAGGTTATATATATATATATATATATATATATATATATATATATATATATATATATATATATATATATGGATGGATGGATGTATATACTAAGTTTATAGAATCAAACTTTTAATAAAAAGTAGTATTTGCCAAAAATGGCTTAATTTTAAAAGTTCGAAAATGTAGGTTAATTTAAAACATAAAATAATTGAAAACCCGACCTTTACGCTATCAAGTCTTCTACCTGTGTGCTGCCATGAGACAGTAACTCTGATTTATTGTCTGATGAGAAAGCAAGTGCAAGGGGAAGTGTCGACGAATAAGCCTAGGGATATTCTGTAAATGGATGAGAAGAAAAGAAACTTTTTAAGAGCTAAATAGGATAGAATGTTTTGGGGAGCAATGAAGATTCACATCTTCAAGAGGCACGACGCAGAGAACAAGAAATCTCTCCAGGGTGTCGGCGATCATGGCTCTCTAAACAACAGTTGTTTTCTAACTCTGTCCCCCACCAAGTCTCTCCTCTGCTGTCCATTTACGCATGCTCATTAAGTAGGTTTCTTGATGCTTTTCTTTGTCTCTCTTGCCTTCAATATGGCTTCGGTGTGTTACCATCATGTTACGCACGTGTCAATTGAATGCCATTCACGCTGGCTTCGTCTCATTACCACTACAACCGTTTTCTCAAGATAAGCGAGGTTTGACAAAGAATGGTATTTCTTTTATATTTCTTTTAATTGTATGCAATTTCTAAACATAACATGAAGACTTTCTGTTTAATAATAATAATAATAATATTTAATAATAATAATAATATTTAATAATAGTAGTAATATTTAATAATAATAATAGTAATAATAATAATAACATTTAATAATAATGATATTTAATAATAATAGTAATATTTAATAATAATATTTAATAATAATAATTTTTAATAATAATATTTACTAATAATAGTAATATTTAATAATAATAATAATATTTAATAATAATAATATTAATAATAATAGTAATATTTAATAATAATAGTAATAAAAATAATAATATTTGATAATAATAATATTTAATAATAATAGTAATATTTAATAATAATAATAGTAATATTTAATAATAATATTTAATAATAATAATATTTAATAATAATATTTACTAATAATAGTAATATTTAATAATATTAATAATAATATTTAATAATAATAATATTAATAATAATAGTAATATTTAATAATAATAGTAATAAAAATAATAATATTTGATAATAATAATATTTAATAATAATAGTAATATTTAATAATAATCATAATAATAATAATAATAATAATAATAATAATAATGATATTTAATAATAATGATATTTAATAATAGTAATATTTAATAATAATAGTAATATTTAATAATAATAATAATGAAAAATAGGTTTTTTGTTAAACTAAGCCGTGGAGATGGAAACAGATAAAATGTGTCGTTTAAAAACTAAAACCGTTCCTGTTGTGGTTGGAACACCCTACTCGATCCTTGTTGAAAGGAACATCGCTACATATACAAAATCTACAGTCTCGACACCGAAATAGAATTACAACTGCGTATGTATGTATGCCCGGAGGCATGGATATGTATCTGCGCCTAACCTCGCATTGTTTATATGGATGTATTTGTGTGAACCAAAATGTGTACACGTGTATGTATGTGTCTATGCGTATTACAGTACCACCCCAAATAAACACAGAAGCAGATTCCTTTATATTTCGTCCACCGGGGTAAATTGCCTTAGTTCCACGTGTCATGCCTGTCTGGTATTGAATTCACAACCATTTGGGCCTAGTCACTGGCTCTAACAACGTCTTTAGCCACTGCGCCATACGTCCGGAGCGTGCAACGGCAGATATACGATTATACTTTTAATGGCACCAAAGTTCTGCTTGCCAAGAGCGGCAGCAATTATAGGGACGGCCCTGACTGTAACATCCCTCTGCGTGCTAATGAGATTATCGCCTTGTTTGGGGCTGAAATGATTATATATATATATATATATATATATATATATATATATATATATATATATGCATTACATAAAAATGAAACTCAATTGTACCACATTTATATGCCCATTTCTCTCTTCGAGAAATTCCTTGGAGCTTCTCAATACTAAAACGTTTTGCTATCAAACCTTTTAATATGGTCTGTTATAACAAACACATTGAGTTCTCTTTGTGGATCAGTTTTAATGTTTTATATTATTAGGATTCATTTGTATTATATATATATATATATATATATATTATAAATTAATTGATTTAAAATATGTTTTTTTTTACACAGTATTAACCATGTTTCAAAAATGGAAGCTAAAAGCTTCGAATTTAACTTTGTAATTAAATTAAAGACATTAGTTCTATTTGATACTTAAGCGAATTTTGGAGTAACTTATTTTTAAAATTACTGGTTTTTAACGGCACTGTAAAAAATCATATATTCATGATTGTTCTTTCTTTTTATTTATATATACATACATAGATACATACATACACACACACACACGCATATATATATATATATATATATATATATATATATATATATATTTTGAATGTAAAAACCACAAAAGCTCACATCTTTTGCTTTCGCGAGGTAAACCGGCATATGATTAGAAAATAAATCCAGGTTAATTAATTAATAAAAATAATACAGACATTAAAATAGCCTTCCCATTCTATCTCACTCCCTGTAAACACCGTCGTCCTGCTGAGATTATGGTCGGGGGTGGGGTTGAAATGATTAAAAAATGAAAAATAAATGAAAATAAATGTACCTCACCTTCATTAGACAGAGTTAAACAGGTTAAATTGCTTTCTAAGTTTCATTGCACATCGCCTGCGCAGCTGAATTTAAGTGGAATCGATACCTTCGGCAGTAGAATATTTTGGTCGATTTCCTTTTGTTAGTTGAATACTCAAAAGCCATTTAGTGTGACTTTGTACGGCTTCGTTTCAATAAAAGCGAAACGCAAACGGTCGCACATGTTGACCTGCTTAATAGAATCACAGCCATCTTTCTTGCCTATAAAAGCAGGTGGAGACAATCGGCTGTCATTTCGTGTTCCTTTTCCTACTGATTACCTTGTTTCCCGTTCCAATTAGCGTCTCCGGATAGTTACAGGTGGGTGCCATCTCTATATCGTTATTTCTGCAACAACAAAAGAAGATCTCTTTCTGCATCTTTCACTCTCACCTGTCGGCGTCAGATTTAATTCCACACTTTTATTGGAATTTCTGCGATGAGGTGTTACCATTATTTACATTATTTATATTTGGACTATTGTTTTCATCTTTGTTGTTAATATCACCTGATCGACTTTCTGAACTTTGGGGATAAGGTGTTATCATTATTTACACTACTTATATTTGAACTGTCCTCATTTTTGTTTTTGTTATCACAAAATTTGGGTCGTCGGGCTCTTCGGCAGTGAAACGAGAACAATCTACACCCATAGATTTAAAAAAAAAAAAAAAAAAAAAGGTTCAGTTTGGAATTCTCTGCAAATTACCCAGACCGATGTACAGCTGAGGAAGGCCGGATGTGCATAACGACCGAAACGCTGTTATAAAAACAACAATGAGGAAAATAGTATAAATATATAAATAGTGTACATAACTTTGTCAATCGCTAGCTGAAATTCTAAGAAATAGGCAAGCGTTTGCATTTTAAAGCTAATCTTTACAACGAATGATTGACGGCTTATCAACCCTTTGCTGGTTATTTAAAGCCAGAAAAGATTTTTAGATTGTAAGAAAT